CAAGAAAGAACTTCAGTTTCCCAAGGTCCTTCATACGGAAACATCTCTGAAGATAATCTTTGAACTCCTGCAGCGCAGTGGAATCATTACAAGCAATGATAAAGTCATCGACGTATACAAAATGTGCAGACAAATAGACCCACGAACTTTGGAGAATAGGGAGTTATCAGCATATTCATGAGAGAAACCAAACTTTTCCAATGCAGCCGTAAGTTTAGAGTACCAGCACCGTGGGGCCTGGCGTAAACCATAGAGAGATTTCTTTAAACAACAAACCATGCGAGGGTCAGATGCCTTAAACCCCTGAGGAAGCCGCATATAAATTTCTTCATCCAGATCGCCATGAAGAAATGCATTACTAACATCCATTTGATCCACAAGCCAGTTCTTGGTTGCAGCAATCTTTAGTATGATCTGGACAGTTGACATCTTTGCAACTGGTGCGAATGTATCTGTAAAATCTTCGCCTTCAACTTGATTATTCCCACAGACAACTATTCGAGCTTTAGGTCTTTCAATAGTTCCATCGGCTTTGTATTTGTACGAGTACAGCCACTGATTACGAAGTGCAGTCTTACCCGGTGGTAAGTGAGTGACGTCCCATGTATTATTAGCTTCAAAGGCATCCACCTCGGTATGCATTGCATCTGTCCAAAGTTTATGTTTGACAGCTTCTTTGAAATTCTTTGGGACTTCATCAGTGATAAGAGCAGCCATAAACACCTTATGTGAGTGAAAATAAATGATCAGATATATAGCTGGAAATAGGGTAGGGTGTGTTACCTATGACCGATAGTGGAGACCCATGATCAGACGCGAAGTGAGAGTGAGGGGGGTGTATAGCAGCAGAGTGAGTCACATAGTCTCTTAACAACACCGACGGTGTTTTAAGCCGCTGACCTCGGCCAAGTATCTCAGGAATTCCAGGAGAGAGAGCTTGTGTTTCATCAGGCGTAGCTGTAGGTACAGACGGTGGCGAGCTAGGCGTATCATCAGCAGATCGGTTCGAGTTTATTAGTTCTGTCGTAGAAGGAACAGAGGGCACAGGTACTGGTAACGAAGAAGACGTAATTGCAGGTTCACTAGCAGGAGAAGCGGAGGTTGGTGATGACACACTCCCCCTGAGACCCGGCGAGGGTAGAAGCCAGTCATCAATAGTAGGATCCAACGCGTTCAAAGGAGGTGTAACATACTCGTCATTATTAACACCAGGGAATTTAGTCTCCGAGAAGACTACATCCCTACTTTCAAAGAACTCATTTGTATTAAGGTCATACAGTCTCCAAGCTTTCTTTCCATATGGGTACCCAACAAAGAGGCACTTTCTGCTGCGATCACCAAACTTATCCTTGTCTCGTGATTTGCGATGAGAATAACACAAGCATCCAAATACGCGAAGCTTATCATAATCCGGTTTCTTTCCAAAGAGGAGCTCATATGGTGTGCGTCCTTGTAGTAGTTGAGACGGTGTACGATTGATGAGGTGTGCTGCTGCTAGAATACTCTCTCCCCAAAATGACACTGGCAACCGAGCTTGAAAGAGACATGCACGCGCAACATTTAAGATATGTCTATGTTTACGCTCCACTCGGCCATTCTGTTGAGGAGTATCTACACATGAAGTTTGATGCTCAATCCCATGATTCTTAAAGTATGACGTGAGAACCATAAACTCGGACCCATTATCTGTCCGGATAGCTTTAACTGATTTGCCAAACTGTCTTTCAGATAAAGCAATAAACTCACGAAGGAGATTAGAGACTTCAGATTTTTCCAACATCAAGTAAGTCCAGACAGCTCTAGAGTAATCATCAACTATAGTAAGAAAGTATCGTGAACCAGAAGAGGAAGGAACCCGATAAGGACCCCAAACATCGCAATGTAGTAAAGAAAAAGGCTCAACTGCTTTATTAGAACTTTCAGGAAAAACTTGACGAGTTTGTTTAGCACGAAAACAAATTTCACAAGACGCAGCTTGTTCAGAATCAAAAACCAAACGATCTAAAATAAGTAATGATGACAAAATCCGATAAGAAGGGTGCCCTAGCCGTCGATGCCATAGTTCTGAAGTTGATGAATTCTTGACCTCAGTACGATGAACCTGTGCAGCCAAGACCCCTGTGAAGTAATACACCCCCTCACGTTCTTCACCCGTTCCAATCAGGGTCTTCGTAAAACGGTCCTGCAAAACACATAAGGTATCAGTAAAGATAGCAATGCAGCCGGTCTGTTTGAGTAATCGTGACACTGAGATAAGCGTGCAGTTAAAATCCGGCACATAAAGAACATCAGATAAGTAGTAATCTTTGCTCAGAACAAGTGTGCCCTTCTTCTTTGCTTGGGAAAACCTCCCATTAGGAAATTTGACCGACGAGGGAATGATGTCTGTAACATCACTTAGAAGAGATAGATTTCCCGTCATGTGATGCGACGCACCAGTATCTATAATAACATCTGCAATAGTTGGTTTACCAGATAGTTTCTCAGTGGAAATTGTTGATTTGGTATTCTGTAGTTGCTGAAGAAGCTGAGTGATTTGAGCAATAGGATCCTCAGTCGTAGGGGAGGTCATAGTGGTATTATTAGACGTTACTCTAGTTGAGTTAGAACTTCCACGACCACGATTGCCATAAGTAGAAGAACGACCTCCTCTCCCTCGCTGAGAAGAACCACGACCAGTAGATGTGTTCCGTTGTTCAATCCACCAATCTGGATATCCATGAAGAAGAAAACACTCAGTGTTATCATGACCTGTACGAGAGCAGTGGGTACAGGAGCGATTAGGGTCTCGAGGTTTAAACGAGCTAGCCAGTGCTTGTTGTGAATCGGTTTTAGAGAGTTCAGTTTGCACGGTAAAACCAATAGCATCAGGTTTCAGTTCCTTTGACCGTACGGTATTGTTGTGTTGCTCTTTGCGTATGATTCTGGAGTAGACATTGTTGATATCTGGTAGAGGATCTTCATTAATAATTTGAGACCTTATGTTTCGGAACCGGGAATCATCAAGGCCAAACAAAAACTTATGAACTCGAATTTCTTCACGTTCTTTTTCAATGTCTGCAGAAGCGTCACAAGTACATGCCCTAGTAGTCTTGATGTTGTCGAGTTCTTCCCATAATTTTGTAAGACGTCCATAGTAATCAATTACTGTCTGCCCTTGCTGCTGACATGTATTTATTTCATCACGTAGTTGATGAATTCGAACACCGTTCCTGACCGAGAATCTCCGTTGCAGGATTTCCCAAAGCTTGTGTGCCTCAGGTACAAACGAAATTGTCGATCATATCTTGGGATCTATAGACGTCCGAATCCATCCAACCAACATAGAGTTAGTAGCTAACCATCGAGAGAGGTCGGGTTCTGTTGATGGCTTCGGTATGGTGCCGTTTAAGAAGCCAAGCTTTCGCTTCGCTTGTATGGAGTTTGAGAGTTCGATAGCCCATTCTGAATAATTGTCGCCGCGAAGGAGAACAGAAGTAATTAGTGCTCCGGGATTGTCAGAGGGGTGTAGATAGTATATGCTAGTAGTATCAATAGGAGTAGAAGTCGGCATAGTTGCCATAGACGTAGAGGTTAGAGATGCTGAAGTATCAGCCATGTTTCTTGTAGAATAAGAAACACGATTTTAGAAAAGAGAAGAGGAAAAAAATTAGGGTTTCAGATTGTTTGCTCCGATACCATGAAATTGTATCGAAGTAGTTATTTGCGTTATTGATTATGAAGGCAAGAGCCAATGTATATATACAGCAGTCAGATCCTACGTAGATAAGGACTATGAAATAAGTACATCATTATCTAGATAAATATAGGAGTTATCTCCAATACATTGCACTAACATATCAAATCTCACTGTTTTAGATTTTGAGTTAAGGTAACTTTAACTCTGTTTCTGAGTCTGTCGCGTCGTTAATGTTTTCTTGCTAACCACGTAAAATGAATGAGGGTCATCTCAAGGGCATCAACTGATCTGTCAAAGTACAGATTAGGCAGTGGTAGGATTGAGTTTGGATGGATCAACGGCTTAACTCTTACCGGAGGTGGTGCAGCTTCATTGTAGCTAGGCCTGGGATCCGGATTCGATCCGAGATCCGATCCGGATCCGTTCTGAAATTAGGATATCTGAGGGTGTCCGGATCCAAATTCGGATAGTAAAATTTCGGATCTTTGTAAACGGAATCCGGATCCGGATATCTTAATTTTTAGGTCCGGATACCGGATTCGAATTCGTATTTTAAAAAAATATATTAAATTTTTTTATTTTATTATTAATTATATATGATATATTTATATTTATACATAAAATAAGTTTAATAATATTCTACTTTTATATTAATAATATTATATGCCATATATATATATATTCATAAATTATGTTTATATATAGTTTATGTATTATTTTTAGAATTTTTGATTTTTTAAAAGTTTTAATTATTTTTACGGATCTGAATTCGAATCTGGATACCCGCGGATATCACAATATCTAGACGGATATCTGAAGCCCGAATATCCGGAAGACACGAATCTGAATCTGGATACTAAAATCACAGATCCGGATCCGGATACTTCAATTTTCTCGGATATCCGAATCCGTCCCACCCGAAAGAGAATAAAAGAAAAAATAAACTCTTTTTTTTCCCGTTGCAACAAAACTTATTAAAATGTCAAGTGTACTCTATGTCTCTCTTTCTTTTTGTATCCTTGTTGACTTCTGAATCCATTTCAACAGATAATAAGCCAAACTTCAAGATTTCAACAAATAAAAGACGTGAAAAACTATATCAAGTGGACAGACTAGCCAATAAGATTAGACTGAGATAATAAAATAAAACGTTTCACCAAACTCGGTCTGTTTTAACAACGTTGTGTGTATGAAGTCTGCTCAGAGCCGCCAAATAACTGGTTTCAAGAATTCAAAGTCAACGGTCAACGAGAGCATATAAGCTCCATCTACATAACATCTTTACTAAAAATCTGTCTGTGGAAAGCCTCTTGTAGCATCCATGGAAAGAACTCAAGAACTCAATGTAAATGGTAAGCAAGAAGCTTCTGTTAGTGTGGATTCCTTTGGAAATCATCTGAAAACATGCTAACAATGATTGTCTTTTTTTTTTGCTTGCTTTCAGGTCAGCAGAACATAGAGGCACACCTGGCAGACCATGAAGAACGGAATAACACCATGGAGATAGAATCATTTCCCATACCTCAACCAAAGAATTATAAAAGGTGGCTTCGTATATCAATTTATGTATTCTTTGTCCTCTCCTGCCAAGCACTTTCCACAATTCTTGGAAGATTGTACTTTGAAAATGGTGGTAAGAGCACATGGATGGGAACACTTGTCCAGCTAATAGGCTTCCCTGTTCTGTTTCTCTTCCGCTTCTTTTCGAAAATCAAGATACCAAAATCAACAGATACAAGCTTTAGACAGTTCCCATCCTTCATCACCCTTGGATCAGTTTACATTGTCACTGGTCTAATAGTGTCTGCTAACTCTTACATGTCTTCTGTTGGGTTGCTCTACTTACCAGTTTCAACTTTCTCCCTCATCTTAGCATCACAACTAGCCTTCACTGCCTTCTTCTCATACTTCCTAAACTCTCAGAAGTTCACACCTTTCATCATCAACTCCTTGTTTCTCCTTACTATCTCCTCTGCTCTCCTTGTTGTCAACACTGATGCGTCACAAAGCACATCAAATGTTTCTAGAGTAAAGTATGTGATAGGGATCATATGCACAATTGGTGCTTCTGCTGGTATTGGACTGCTTCTATCTCTGGTACAACTGATCCTCAGGAAAGTCTTAAAGAACCATACAGTCTCAACGGTTATGGACTTGGTCGCTTACCAATCTCTAGTTGCAAGCTGTGTGGTTCTCATAGGACTTTTTGCAAGTGGGGAGTGGGAAACTTTGACAAGTGAGATGGAGAGCTACAAACTTGGGAAAGCACCATATGTTTTGACTTTGGCCTCCATAGCTATTTCATGGCAAGTCTACACCATTGGTGTTGTGGGACTGATTTTTGAGTCGTCTTCTGTGTTCTCTAATTCCATAACTGCTGTGGGACTGCCTATTGTTCCAGTTGTGGCAGTGATAGTTTTCAAAGATAAAATGAATACGTCGAAGATCTTCTCTATCATTTTGGCTATTTGGGGCTTCATTTCATTCGTCTATCAGCACTACCTAGATGAAAAGAAGTTGAAGCTTAGCCATGCAAATCCTGTAGAAGGTTCTCGTCTACCAGTTGATGAAGGTCACACAAACATACAAATTGTATAATCATGCATTTATCCTTAGAGCTTATATGTGTTTACGTACATTTAAAGCATAATATGTATACAAAAACTTGTAACTCTATTTGGACAACAATTCTGTTGTGAGTTATAAGTAACTGAGCAAGATGATTATAACAAAACCTTTTATCACAAAGTTTGTTAAATTTTGGTGTGTATTTTAAAATGACTAAAGTAAACAATCTTACTTTGGATGCAACATCAATAAATTACATCACCAGACGCGCAATGTGTTGGTGCTGTTACGCTCCTAATTCAAAATTTGGTGGAGTGAGAGTTTTTTTTTTTTTTTTTTTTTTTTGACAACGGACGG